AACCTGCTATATCTGGGGATAGGGCACTAAGAAAAAAAAAGTAGGAAAAGAGAATAATAAATGAAGAAAAAATGGGAAAAATGCAAAAAGAAAAATAAGGAGCGGGGTTAATCATGAGAAAAAAGTGGGAAAAAGGGGAAAGAAAACAAACCTTAAATTAAAAAAAAAAAAAATTCAACCAGGCACAGGGAAAAGAAAAAGTGCTGAAAACCAGGACCTGGTAGGGGAAGATTAAGAATAATAATTAAAAGGACAAAAGTATTAATAATATTAGTTGTTTTTAAAGACAAATACAAGCAAACTAATCACCAGAGAAAAGAAAGCGAAAAAGAAAAATTAAAAATAAAAAAAGTGAAAAAAATCAGTGGAGGACAGGTCAGTGCACCCAGGCTCTGTCTGAACACACAGACTGTAATGGAGTTCCTGTGGGCCCAGAAGGTAGGTGGGAGTGTGGGGTGGCCACACCTCCGTTCACCAAGCGGGTGTGGGGTATGAGAATAACAAGAGGAATGTCGTATCTTTTCCGGTTTGCAGGTCCCAAGTGTCCTTGGGGTTGTTGGAAAGCAGAACGTGTTCTTTAACCCCATGAATCTGTGAGAGCACTGTCTCTTTAAATATCCAAAATAGTCAAGCTGCTTTTTAAACCTTGAAAATGGCAGCATTCTCTGGAATGGCAAAAGTCCACAGTTCAGCCCACCTTTCTCTTCACCTTCTCCATTTGTACCCCAGCCACTGTGGACAGTCCTCTGTTTGTTCCCTGGCTAGGAGGGTGATTTTTAGGTTAATTCTTAGGTCCTACCACCACTCGGTAGCATAGTGGCTAAAGCACTTGACTGCTAACCAGAAGGCTGGCGGTTCAAACCCACCAGCCACTCCTCGGAAGGAAGGTTGGGCATTCTGTATTGATACTGCCTCGGAAACCCAAGGAGGGGTCGCTATGAGTCGGGGCCGACTCGATGGCACATAACAACAACAACAACCACCACCACTCGGGAATCTCCAAGCTGTCTGTGCTGTCAGGATCGCTCAGGATCGCTGCTAGACTTCAGCTCCGTCTGTCTCCTTTTTTTGGTATTTTCACGCAAATTCTTCTGCTAGTTGCAGTTTAGTCCACTTCTATATCCTTCCCTTCAAGGCTCAGGGGTCCAAGATTATCTTCTGTGTCTGTATTAATTGGTTTCTCTTTTCTTTGTTGGAGATGGTCTGTGCAGTCTTTCTGCCTAGTCCGCCATCTTGCTGGAACACCCTCCTGTAATGTTTTACAGCCTTGGAAACTAATGAGGGTTGCCATGAGTTGGAATTGACTTGATGGTAGTGAGATTAGATTTTTTGGGGTAATAATGCTGTAATTCAATGTAGAATGATTTTAGAAAACAATTTTGATCGTATTTATATAATCTGAGAAATATTACATGTAAGCAGGTTACAAAAATAAGCCATATTATTCTATGATTAAAATTGATAATAAGCATTACTAATAGTGCCTTACGCTATGAGTCGGGGCCGACTCAACGGCAAATAACAACAACAACAACAAAGGTTCTGTATGGTATGAAACAGGAGGAAGTCCACAGGATGATACCAAACTGGATGATACCAGCCCTAGTGCTGCCAGGGCTCTCCAGCCAGCCATATCTTTTGAAACGCAAATTCAAGAAGCCTAGCTTTGAACAGGAAAGACTTTGTTATTTGGGGTGAAAGAAATGGACTGGAGGATTTTGGTCGGGATCTTTAAAGTGAATATTTGATTTCATGGCTAAGAAAACTCCCACATCAAATGAGATTTCTGCTCTCCAGGTCTGTCTTTGACAACTTCAGGAAATGGATAATGATGATGTCACCACAATGTGGCAAACGTAATTAATGGCCCTGAATTTTACACTTCAAAATCATGAAATATGGCCAAGTTTTTGCTCTATATTCATGACAATAAAATTAATTTTTTAAAAAAGCAATTACTAACTCAGGTACAGAAAAGAAAAGTGGAATGAGAATGGTAAGATATCCACAGGACACTATGACTAAACCAAATCCAAATTAAACTCATTGCCATGGAGGCAATTCTGATTCATAGCAACACTATAGGACAGACTAGAACTGCCCCACAGGGTTGCCAAGGCTGTAAATCTTCACAGAAGCCGACTGCCTCATCTCTCTCCTGAATAGTGCCTGGTGGGTTCGAACAGCTGAGCTCCTCTACAATGATTTTCTTAGCACTGAAGTGAACAATATTTCCTGCTTGGACTCTGATGTAAATGACTGTGAACCTGACGACACATTAAACAGGATCTCCAAGAGTGAGATGCTGAGATGCTTTCACATGGCTGGTCCTTGTGAGACCTTGAGAAAATCTGACAGTGTAACAGAAACCCTTACATTGGAAAACTATTTATTATTGTCACACTCGTGGATACTTGCGCTGTTATAATCATATGTATTCAGAATAGAATCAAGCAATTACTGTCTCTTTTATTCTCAGTTCTTTGAGGCATGACGGCCCAAAATGCCTCCTGTTGTAATCAAATCTCAGCTTAAAACTCCAGAGGTAATACAGTTTTACATTGTATCTAGGGGGTTGGTTTCTGGAAATGAAGTGAATGTGTGTCAACTGACTCAGATGTCTCAGATCAGATGAGTACTGGTCTTATTTATTATGACCAATAGGCATCCAGGCTTGGCTGGTCAAGGACCCACAGCTGAGACATGGGACCTTCACTGGTAGAAATTATTCTAGATGTGCTTATGATGATAAGATAGAATAAGGCCAGTAATCCAAACTGTGAGTGAGAGTCATAGACTCAGGTGGTAACTCACTCACTCAGTTACCAAGCAACTGTGGGAGCTCTGGTGGTGTAGTGCCTAAGGTGTTTGACTACTAACCAGAAAGCTGGCAGTTCAAAGCCACCAGCCACTTTGCAGAAAGAAGGTTGGGCAATCTACTTCTGTAGTGATATGGCCTCAGAAACCCAAGGAGGGGTTGCTATGAGTCAGATCCAACTCAACAGCAGTGAGTTTGGTTGTTATTTGTGTATGACTAGAAGGCAAGGATGGTTCTGTCTCACAACCAGCAAAAGAAGGAAATGTCAGTGGCACTGCATTAAAGTGTGAGACTAGAACAAGGACGCTGACACATCAGTGTGACTCAGAGAACTGCTTCCAGAGCTCCTTTGTTGACTTTCAGGATGAGGAAGAGATTGCGACTAGCCCTAGTTTTTCTGGGTTCCTCAGTGATGGCTTCGATGCCTGTAACTTCAATCAGGAGGATCCAAGGAAAGAAATGGAGCAACTCGTGTTTGACAGAAAGGAAGAGGAGACAGCTATGCTGGAAGGTAAACAACCACAGCAAACCAGAAACACTGCTCTCATCCCAAATTCCTCAGGTTACTGTAGGTAATTGTGACTCAAGCAGATGTTCATAAATGAGTCTTACAGGGAGGGGGCACTTAGTTTTTTTCAATGGTGGCGGAATAATTGGGAAACAGATAATTGATCATTGTATGACATGATGAGTGTAATCACTGTTACTCATTGGTACATGTAAGAAATGGTGAATCAGCAGATGTTAAATATATTTTTACCACAATTAAACAACATTTTTTTAAAAAAGTTGTAAATTTAGCCTCAAAACTGGTGGACTATTCCTCATGAGAAAGTGGCTTCCAGTCAGGGTGACTAGAATCTGTTGGGACCATAGAAATCCTCTGGGGTATCTCCCCCAGTGTCCCAGGAGAAGCTGAGACCCAGGAGGTGAAGTGGTGTGTCTGAGGCAGCTCAGCCTGGAGGACACGTGGCCAGGGCCAGGGGAGATGCGTGAGGCCCATCCCTGAGGCCATGCTGTTCTCTCCTTCTCTGCTGGGTTCAATAGTTCATTGCAGTGGTCACACAGACCTTGCAGGCAATGCTCAGGATTATAGAGTTTATTAGGAGGTAACTCATTCCATTTCAGGATCAGGAACACTCAGGATACTGTTCTTTGATCAGGGCTCTCTTCCCTCAGCCATGGCCCCTCAGTCTGGCCTTGCCCTGCTTGTGCAAGTGTTACCAAGAAATTTTACCTCTGTCCGTAAATACCTAGAGGCAACTCACTGTGCCAGCAGGCCTCTGGCGGGAAGATACTCAACTTTCTTGCTGCATTGTTTGGCATGCCCACCACTCTTTCCAGTGCCAGCCGGTTGGTTTGCTTCTTCTGCTGCCATCATTTCTCTGCCGCTGTTTCTGTTGGTCTCTGGTATCATAGCTGTCTTCTGGATCCAGGAGGTTCAGTGTAGGGCTCTTGGATCCAAAGGATGTGCTCCCCTTTGGGCTCTACTTCCTTGTGGTAGTGAGAACCACCCTGTTCACCCTTGGGATGGCTCATTATAAGCCTTGAAGGATGGCAAAACTGACCACTCCCCACATTACTGTTTCATAAGCCTTATTTGCATGGTCCCACCCTCCACAAGGTGCCATGTACCTCATTTACACTACTAGCAAGGTATCCAATCCCCTTGGTGGGCCACCACAAGCAGGTGACCTTTGCATAGTCCCACCTAGTCATCTGGTGAGAGTTACAAAGACCTTGGCTGGAAGAGCTACACCAAGGAATTCACTGGAGGGCAACTAACAACAAATTTGTGAAAATTGTTCCCATTTTTCTCAGCATATAGTGATGGAGTGTGATGCATTAAAAATCATGGTGCAGCCTGACACACATAAATAGAGTTGACTGATGTGTTCACACTAACATCATGACGTCAGAAAGACTCTCTCCTTCTTGTTGGTTTATTTAAGATGATCCTGCAGGTTGAGTAAAAGAGCTATCACAGGAACTTCAGGAGTATGAAGTGGTGACAGATCAGGGAAACAAGATGACAGTGGGGATAAGGAAATAGAGAAAATGCTTCACAAGGAAAATGAGCTGTTTCCTGAAATCAACAAATAATCCATCACACCATGTGGACTGACATCAAATTCCAGGTGTCCAGACTCACTGAATCAAAAGGCAGAGAAGAGTAGAATCTATTTGAAATTCAAAATTGCTTCAACCAGCAATGTTTTCTCAAGCAGAAACATGGCTCTTCTACTAAAAAAAAAAAAAAAAAGAGAAACACTTTTACATACACAACACTACATTATCAGTAATAACAAACCTTAATCTACAGGTAGATACGTAGTAGACGGGCTGAATGATCATATATGTCTAGGCAGAAAAGAATATAATCATAAAATATAAGTTTGTGTTGTTATTGTCATTGTTAAACAATGACAGAAAGGTACTGTCTACTGTTGTTGTTGTTAGGTGCTGACAAGTCGGACCCAATTCATAGTGACCCCTCCTCGGATTTCCCAGGTGGTATCACTATGGAAGTAGATTGCCCAACTTTCCTTCCAAGGAGTGGCTCGTGGGTTTGAACCATCAGCCTTCTGGTTAGCAGTCAAGTGCTTTAGGCACTACACTACCTGAGCTCCCTTGGATACATTAGGTTAAATAATGATTGACAGCCTTGGGAATCCTATGGGGCCATCCTACCCTGTCCTAGAGGGTCACCATGAATCAGAATCCACTCAGTGTCACTGGGATGTGGGAAATTTTATGGCAGTTATTTCAGTTTGTTTTCTATGTAGTTTACTTTCACCTGTATTTGAACTGTGAATAAATAGTCATTATGGTGTTTTGTTTGTTTTGTTTTGCACAACATTGCATGTGTATAATATATGGCCTGAAGCACAGTGATTGTGAGGATGGCTCTGGACCAGGCAGTGTTTCCTTCTGTTGGACAGAGGCTCTCTATGAGTCCAAACCAACTCCACCGTACCCAAGAACAGCGTATTTATAAGATTATTATGTGTAGCTGCTGTTTCTTCATGTTCTATGCTATTCACTCTGGTGTCAGATGGTGGGAATATTTCCATTGAAATGTGGAGGGGCATTTGTGTTGGGTCAGTGAGGACTGGGTTTCTCCCGCACCTCTGTTCCCCAGCAAGAAGGCTGCAGGCTTGTCCAAAGTCACAGTGAGAAGGTCAAGGGGCAAGACTCCTCTTCTTGTTTGCATAACCATAATGCAGTGCAAACAATAGCTATTGTTTAAAGATGAAACCTTTACAGTTTCCTTCAAATCTATCATCTCCAAGAATGAGATTTTCTTTACACAGCACACAGCAAGAGCGGCTGCAGGAATTTGGGTTGGGGTTATTTCTACCCTCAGTGCACTGGGACGGCTGTTCCCTGGCCCTTGTCTGCCCCAAATTGGTAGCATAGCTGCTTCCTTTGTCTCTTGCTTAATTCTTCTGTCTTGAAAAAAAGTTTTTCATGGAAGGGAGCAAATTCTCAAGCCCTAGTCCAATTCTTGATGACCCTGTTTTTACAGGGCCTGTGTTACTCTGTCTAATGATAGGCAGTGCTTTGATTTTGTTGATGTAGACCATCGGGTGGCAGAGTGGAATCACCTGGGAAACCCATGGGGGTCGCTAAGAGTCAGAATCAACTCAATGGCCGTGATACAGATTGACAGTTTTGCAATTCCAATGGGCAGTTCTACTCTGACTCCAGGGCCAGTATGAATCGGAAATCTCTCCAGGGCAGTAGGAAATTTCCTGGCAGTCATTTCACTTTGTTTCATTCTTTATGTAGTTGAGTTTCTCCTATATTTGACGTTTGTATAAAAGGGTCATTACAGTATTTCAGTATTTTTTTTTTTTTGCACATTGTATTTGTATAACATATGGGCTTAATCATAGCAATTATTCTGATGATGGCACAGGAACGGGCAGTGTTTCATTCCGTTGTACGAGTCAAAAGCAACTGGACAGCAATTAACAGCAATGTGTTTGTAAGATTCGTGTGTGCAGCTGTTGTTTCTTCGCGTTCTTTGCTATGCACTACGGGGCATGCATCAAGTGGCAGCTGTGTTTCCTTTCAAATGCTGATGGACATTTGGGTTGGGTGCAGGTTGAGGCCTCCAGGTCAATGCTGTTATGGGCGTTCTTGCATGTCATACAAATGGACCCTCTCCCAAGCAGCCTATCAATGTTCCCACTGTATCCTACGCTCACAGGTTCTTGACATTTTCAGACTTCAAAGTTTGACCATCTGGTGGGTGTGAAATCCACCATTTACAATATTTGTATATATTCTGTTGTGTGGCAGAACCATCACTTTAGAGGAAATTAAAATTCTAGTGGAGGCCCTGCAGGTGGTTTCCAGTTCTAGATTCTACCATCCGAGCAGTGCTTGTCGAATGACTTCCTACAAACAAATTCCAAGAGTGGAAATGCTGGATTAAATGTTCTGCACATTTAAAACTTTGATCTCTGGTACCCACTGCACTCATCAAGATGTCAAAAATCACATTCCCCTCAACAGTGTTTGCATGGTTATTTCCCCCCACACCCTCTACAAATATTGGTACAGTTTTTTAAAGTTCTTTTTGTTAATCCAAATGATGGATGTGCTTAATTTTAGAAATCAAATTCCACTAGGCTTTTACCACAGCCTACCGTGACTCCCCTTCCCCATCCTGATTCTCACTTCTCAGCATCTTCCATCTTAAAATCTGACCAGTTTCGTCTTTTTGCTTCCATCGCTCCCAATAATGTACCATATTTTCAAGCAAACAATGCGTACATTATAGCATCGCCCCCCAAATAGTTTCTTGCCCATGCCATGCCCATTACACATGTATGTGTGGTATTTATACAGGCACGATATATACCCCAATGTGCAATTGCACCACTATTTTTTATTTCTGTCCCAGAACGTGGGAGAGATTGCTGTTGTCTACTCTGGTTCCATGGCTCCTGATTGGTGCAAATAGTTAAGGTCCTAGTGGTGCAATGGTTAAGAGATCTGCCCCGTTAAAGATTCCGCCAAGGGACTTCTGGTAAGATGGAGGAATAGGCAGACAAGCGACACAGATCCTCATCAACAAAGAAAAGAAAAACCAATTGACAGAGATACAGAAGATAATCCTGGAACCCTGAGCTTTGAAAAGAACTATACAAAAGTGAGCTCTGTACAGAGGGAGCTCTGGTAGCATAGTGCCTAAGGCACTTGACTGCTAACCAGAAGGCTGGCGGTTCAA